AAAAAAAAATTTAAAAAGTAAGATAAATAAGTATAAATATTAAAATATAAAAATAGTAAACAACTAATTTTAGGCCGAGGCCGGCCCAAGAAAAGCTCATGTAAATTTAATTTCTCATGCGCTCCCGAATTTTTAGAGTTTATTTTGTCACAATTAATATTTGGACAATGATCTTTTTATTTCTGCAATAAAGATTTTGAAAGACAAACGAAGAAGGCTTACAGGCCTAATGATCTAATAATTTAATGTAAGTCTTTTTCATCATGACAAAGGTTCGATCTCCTTCTCCCTTCCTCTCCCCACTTACCTAATAATAATAAAAGAAAAAAAAAAAAAAAGGCAAACATCATCCCTTTTTCTTTTTCTCTTGGGTCATATCTAATGGTGTTAAACAGCTGATATGTCTATATTGATGACCAAGATGTCTATATTGATGACCAAGACAGGGACATCTTTACAAATACGTGTACATTTTTATTATTCTCAGTTGTGTGTTTGCTTAAAATTTCTAAATAGATTTCAGGTGTAGTAAGATAAGAAATAGAAAATAATTGTCTTTTATTGTACAATCAAAATAAAAAAAAATTAATTTAATTCACATATGGCAAAGATATCAATTGCCTCATCATCCACTCACATTTCTTAATTAGATGATTTGGTTATTTCAAGTATAAAACTTTTTAATTAAATAAATTTAAAATAAATTATAACAAACTTATCTCATATTATATAACTCATTACGAAACCAGAGCAAACCGAAAGCCAATTAAAAGAGATTCTCTTGCTATCATAAGAAAACAACAAATGCATAAAAATGTCGACGCAGTTGAAACAAATCGATTAGGTGCCTGAGGGTGACCTAATAATTGATATTTTCGAAGTCAAAGAAGTTCAGAGGTAGAAGCAAGGGAAAGAATATTTGCTACTATCTTCTGGGCCTTAATGCTGACTTATGAGCTATCGCAGTGCGATAGATCGAGTCGAGCTTAATCTGAACACTCAGTATTCGAAAGAAAAGATAAACACCCATATATTCTCTTCAGTTGGGTGTTGACAATTGCTAGAATGACAATTGCTAGAAACATTCACAAAGTGAAAATGACTGGCATCACGCCCTCCTAACCCCTCGCTATAAATGGAGGAAATAATGCTAACTTAATCAATCTTGAATTGTTTGCAAATAAACCCAAATTTTAAATCACATCAGCTGATGCAAAAAGGTGAATATTAGCAGACTGGAAAAAACAAAAGAATTGCTTCATTATGCTATCGGTAAATTGATTGATTTTTAACGTATGTTTTTGTTTGTATCCACTGTGACATTGTCACATACGTGTAATTTTTGAAAATAGGTAATGAAACATACGTATAATTGTCTCCAATCTTCTTTGCCATCGAGTATTGGCTCATTCAGGGTGGGACATCCAATTGACATTGGGATGTAACGTTGAGAACAGGGGAGAGTTGTAGTGTTTTAGTAGTTGAATTAGTTTTATTATTATTATAAAAAGTTTTCACACCTTTACAATAAGAGTATCAACATGCTCTCTTTCCATTTCTTCTCCCGAAGGCTTAAACCATTTGTTATGGTACATCAAAGAAGAGAGAGAGAGAGAGAGTGGACTTGTTCTTCGGTTCTGGAAGAGCAGTGGAGTTACAGCGGATGAGGCCTCTTTTGGGCATAGCATCCAGGCCCAGATCATATTTTGATGGCGAAGAGCATGGGTGTATTGCACCAGCCCAAAGAAGAACATGGGCTTTTTCAAGATCACTTTCTATACTCTTTTCTCGTTCATGGGCTTCCGTAGGGGGAAGAAGCGAAGTAACGCTTGACTAAAAATATTTATAAAAACTAATAAGTAAGATGTATTTATA